GAAAGAGGATGAATAAAACATGGTGTCCTGAATTCAGACTGAACCCCGCCGTCCTGACATACATAACCCGAAGAGAGTTGGGAAAACCAGAGGAGACTCCCCCATCTCTACCAGGATTCATGCTTTGTCTGGTGTGCGTGTAGTCAGATATTTAAACTAAGTGAAATATGTTTTTTGTTCACAGATTGACTTTAAATAACAGAGTTTTACAATAAATTGATTTATTACATTTTATTTATTAATGTAATAATGTATTTATTAAGTTCTGTCCCTTCTACACTACCATTCAAAAGTTTAGGGTCAGTATTTTTTATTTTTTTAAAAATAAATATATATATTTTTTTTTCAGTAAGGACACATTAAATTGATTAAAAGTGACAGCAAATACGTGTAATGTTACAAAAGATTTCTATTTAAAATAAATGCTTTTCTTTTGAACATTCTATCCATCATAACATCTTGAAAAAAATATGGTTTCCACCAGAACATTAAGCAGCAAAAGTGTTTTCAGTGCTGATAATAATTAGAAAATTTTTCTTGAAAAGCAAATCAGCATATTAGCATCATGTGACACTGAAGACTAGAGTAATGATGCTGGAAATTCAGCCTGGCCATCACCAGAATAAATCCAATTTTAAAATATATTTGAATAGAAAACAGTTGTTTGAAATGGTAATACTATTTCAGAATATTCCTGTTTTTATTGCATTTTTTAATGAAAAATACAGCCTTGGTGAGCATAAGAGACTTCTTTAAAAAACATAAAAATCTTTCAGACCCCAGACTTTTGCACAGTAGTGTAGTAGTTTTTTTAAAATACATAGTGACATCAATTATATTGATGCCATTCATTTTTGAATGCATTTATATGTTAATATAATGGTGTTCATGCATATAATGCAATTATGATTTATGTTTGATGTGTTGAGAAAAACAGAATTCTGAAAGACCAGGATTTTTCCCATGCTCAGGCAAGTGTATGTGTGTGTTAGATGTGCAGTAATGAGACATTACTCTTCTTCTCTTGCATCTCTGATATTAGAGAGCACATTAATAATCCCTGAAATTATGATAGATAGTTCAGAATGCTTCTCACTTAAGGGATAGCTCACCCAAATGTATTTATCCTCAAGTTGTTCCAAATCTCTCTGTTCCTCTAATCATACTCACTATTCCAGAAATTCATGCAGTGCCTTTGCTGTACTCTGTGAGTTACTTTTTGAGTATGTAATAACTGCATTACATTATTGCAAAAGAAAGAGGCAGCAGTTTGCCCTCAAGCTTCCAAACAGATGTTTGTATAATCTGTTATTAAAGTATAATCTATTATTAGAGTGTTGTGACATACGCTGCAAAGCTGTAAGAACTCTCTAACATTTTTGTGTATTTGGTACATTATAAGGATGGGCCACATCTGATTAGTAAGGTGAACTAGTTTATCTAGATTTTTGTTTATAGTTTTTATTCTGTATTTATATGCTTTAAAGGGGATACACTTAACGGCAGCTGCAGCCTTGCGGCTCTATGTTCTTTAGTTTTTATTTTTCTATTATATGTAACGCTGCTTTGATACAGTTTCTATTTTAAAAATAAAAATTCCAAATAAAATGAAGTTAAGATATGATTTTTAAATTGTGATTTTATTTGTTAACCAATATTTGAGTTTTTCATCTTAAGTTTTTAAAGTAGTATATGCAGAAGTATATTGTATTACAAATCAGCCTACATATTAATGTAGAAAATGTGTTTTCTTTTGGTAGTTTCTCTGCATCTTTTTCTTGTCTAATATACATTACAAAAAACATTAAATAATCCAAAAATGCATTAAAATAATGAACCATTGATCAACAGAATCACCGATAGATAATTAACTCTGCCATTCTGAATGAGCAAAAATCAATCTTTTAAATCCTAAATTTGAGTTGTAAATTGAATTGATTCACCTTTAACCCAAATATCCACAACTCTGCTGAAGGGCTTTTTTAAAAAGACTGATTCATCTACTAGTTTAAGGATGGCTTGAGTTGGACTGACTGTTGCTATAAAACCCGGCCAGAAATAAACACAGGGCATTGCATTGAGCTTTGTTTATGACTCTTAGTTTTGAGAGCAAAATTTAGCATCCAGAGAAACTGAATTCCGCATTTTTGTGCTATCACGAGCTGGCTTTGATGTACCGGGTGCAATAATGGATGTGAAAAATAAAGTGGCTGGTTTTGCAGTGTGACAGAAATAGGAGCGGCTGTCCGTCAACAGTCTGCAGCTCCAGGCGCTCACACTTTGTTTATTAAGGGAGCGATCTAGTTTAATGTGATCTAGTTTTTTGTGTCTGTCTATCTAGAGAGTTGTTGTTCTGAAAACTTTACATGGTGAGGACATTACAGACAGACTACAAAGGTTAGCAGATACTGATTTCTGACCAGTAGGTTTGAGGGGTTGTGCAGAGTTAGTTTTCAAAAACTCAAAAAGCTTTCTTCTGTGCAATTTATGTTGCTTGCAATAAACTGTTTTGTCAGCCAAACTTTGGTTACAACTACATAATCTTAAAGGGACAGTTTACCCCAAAATGAAAATCCCGTCATCATTTACTCACCCTGAAGTTGTTCCAAACTTGTATGAATTTCTTTATTCTGTAGAACACAGAAGAAGATATTTTGAAGAATGTTGGTAGCCATTGACTCCCAATTTTTTTTTTCTCCATACTATGGACGTCAACAGTTTGGTTGCCAAACTATCCCTTTAATAGAATTAGAACATTTGCTTTCTTCAGTTACACGAAGCAACATCTTAAATAATTCAAATCCACAGGAACTTACAGTGCAATCCCAAGTAGCCTGTTTAAATTAAGTAGATTGAAATTGGATCGCAATGAACTCCAGTGGAGTGATAATGTAATATCTCCTCCAGAGCATGTGGCTCCCTGTCTGTCTTTTGCTTTCAGTATCATCCCCACGGCACCCCCACAGGATTTGTCATGACATTTTACATGTTCTTTCAGTCTTGTGATGGAGCTCTTGTATCGATTGCGTTGTGTGTCCTTTTCGGAGTGGCTTAATTGGCTGATTAAGTAAGCCAGTGAAAGATAACAGTCCTCAGTTTTTCTGTGGAGTCACGTCTACCAGCTTACAGTTTAGATGTTTGTTCCAAATGCTTGGACAAATTTGTGATTTTCATCTGTGTTTCTGAAAGACATGGGTAATCTGAAGTCCTGCTGAAAAGACTTTCTTCTGTCGGACACAAAAGAGATTTTTTTATGCTGTTCTTTTCCATATAATGAAAACATGCAGTGACTAGAGTCTGTCAAGCGTCGAAAAAGACAAAAAGATCTCAGTACAGTTTTGGTCCATCAAGAAAAACACAATTTGTTCAGCTGAACAATGCAAACGGAGGAAGCTCTAGTATCTCCACCATGTACATGGGACCAAACAGACTAATACCTCTGACACTTGAACATACACATAGGCTGAGCCTGTGGGGTATTCAACATACTCTTGTGTGTCTGTGCCACCGAAGGACACACTCTTGAGCACACACATACAAACATGTCCACCCCAGGTTGTCCATTGCTTTGTGGGGGTGAGAACACACTGTTCCAGTGAACTGATCTTGTTGCACTATTAGGCTTGCCGCGATAGACGGTACTGACGGTGATACCGTTGTTAAGCCGCAACACCGATTATGTCACTTGCCCCACGGCACCGACCCCCACTGTTGTTTAGATTTTTTTATAGTAATACAAATTTTAGTTTAGTTTAAGTTTAGTTCAGTAAAAGAACAGACACTACAATTAAAAACTGAACGCGGCTGCTCAATGCATCGTGCCGAACGACAGTCGCATCACAGATCAGATTTCATTTCTCCAGTGAGGAGAGTGAGTCAAGCTGACTGACAAGAAGAGTGAGGTGAGACAGACAAGACGATGGCGGATAATTTAATTTTTAAACGAAATGCAAAAGCGCCTGTTTGGCAATATTTTGGATTTTGAAAAGCCTGTTGACCTTTTCTGTTTATCTAAGGTGATTTTGGAAGTTTTTTTAAACATTCGTTTCTTATTTAATTGGTTCCACGGTGTTTGCTGATTTTTACTTTATTTAAACTTTGTGTAATTTATTTATTTTATTTGACATCAAGGTGTATATGCCGTGCATCCAAGCTTTCTTATTCGTTTTGCTAATAAACATTCTACATTTCTTATTTATTTGGTTATATATTATATTTATTTGGTTATATATTATAGGCTACATGTTTACTTATTTCCAGTTTTGTATACCTATTTCAACTTTATGTAAGTTATTTGTTATTTTATATTAGGCATAGCCTGCCCTATAGCATGGTGTATTTTTATTCGTTTTGTTAATAAAAGTTCTATGGTTTATATATACGCTAAAGTGAGTTTGACGTTGTATTTTGTTGTTGCATTCAAGCAATTGATGCCGAATTGCCGCTAATTCGAAATTTAAAAGCGAAGGAAAGCAAGGAAAAGAGGGAAAATTCAAACGAACAATTGCTTTACGCCGAATTGATGCAATTTGAAAGTGAAAATGTGCATGCCGCTTTTGCAAGCTATTTAAAAGCAAAGGAAAGCGAGGAAAAAAGGAAACTCCCCTGCCCCCACGGCGGTATTATCGGTGTTATTACACATCGATTAACTGGTGGGAAAATTTCTTTACCGTCACAACCCTATGCACTATGTGTGTTTGTTTTTTGGCATGTCCGATCCACTGCCCCCTAGTGGACAGGAGTCAAATGTGCTTTAGATGTCTATATACAATGAAAGTGAATAGGGGGCCTGCTTGACACAACAACATTGGCTCAACCTTTGGATAGAGTTTAGGATGGGATGGTCGGTTTGTGCAAAGACAAATGTGGTTGTCATTATTTTTGCACTTCAATTTTGTGTTCACACATTTTGCATTGTATGTTGCAATGTAATTTTGGCATTAAACTATTAGCTGTGCCTCATGGTCAAATTTCTCTTTCTCTCTCTCGTCTTTTATTAGGAATCCCCACAGGACAGTGCCATCACTCGTGACATTAACCGTACGTTTCCTGCACATGACTACTTCAAAGACACGGGTGGTGACGGGCAGGACTCTCTCTATAAGATCTGTAAGGTGAGCAGATGACCTGTCTGCCGTTTGCTTTCAATTTGTCTGCTCAGCTCAGATTCTGCACTTCTGCTCTGCTTCTGTTCATTTATCATCTTCAGCTCTGCAAAATCAATTTCCTACCATTAAGAAAAGTTAAATGTGCACTTTTGGACTGCTCCAGTTTCTTTATAGATGTTCTTTTTTAACTTAATTTAAGAAATGTTAAATGTATAAAGATAGATACAGTAGCTTGATGGATTTCGATGATTGATATATAGATAGATGTATAAATTGATGTATAGATGGCTACATAGATAGATGGATGGATCAGTATATAGTTGGATGGATGGAATGATATATAGATGGATGAATATCTAGATATGTGGATAGGTGATAGAATGGATGTGTAGATGATTGGATGAATATAGCTTGATGGATGGATAAAGATTGATGTATTGATGGTTGGGTGAGCAGACAGTGATGGATGAGTGATAGATATATAGATGGATGCATAAATATGGATGTATCAATAGTTGTGTAGCTATATTGATGGGTGGATGAATGGATATAGCTGGATGAATTATAGATTTAAACATAGGTGAATGGATGGATATGGTTAAATGGATATATTAATGATTGGATGGATGAATGATGGATGGATAGATGTATAGCTAGATAGATATAGATTAATGTATATATCTTTAGATGGAAATAGATGCATGAATGGACATATTGGATTGATTGGATGTATATCAGCCGATAGAGAGAGAGAGATTTAACACAATCTTTGAGTTTTGAACATCTGCAATGAGTTGGCTTTAAAGCATGTAAGTTTTTGTACACACGTCTCTCATACTGTACTACAGTCCGGTATAGTGAATAAATGTTTAATAAATACAAAGCAGTCTCAAATTATCTCAAATGTTCACCCTAAAATACTGGGTTTATTTTGGGTCAATGGGTCAGTGGGTTTAATGTGAAAGTCACTAATGATGAGGGAAATGAGATTGATTGTTGGATTTCCATCTTTGGGCGTCTCTTAATAATTCACCAGCCCTCTCTTCGACGGCTACCGTTATAATTCATACAGCACTATAGATTTATCATATTGACTACAGTGTGATTCAGTTCTCTCAACCCACAGTTCACAAAGTTTATTAGCACCACAGTTTGTAATTGTCACAATATTGGTATGTAGGTCAATCTGTAAGTATTCCATCAAGCCTTCAAATCTGATTCACACTTCTGCATATTCAAACATGCCACTAAAGACATTAGGCTTCAGTTCTCATGTGTCTCGTAACCAATCACATGCAAGTTTGAATATGTGAAAGGACAAATTAGATTAAAAGAGCTGAGAGAATGATTCTACCAAGAATGAGTTTTTCTTTAATCATTTATTATATTTTAATAAGCCGTTCTTTTGAAGCATTACTGAAACATTCTGTATCTTCCATCCTGCAGGCATATTCTGTGTATGATGAAGAAATCGGTTACTGTCAAGGACAGTCTTTCCTTGCTGCTGTGCTGCTACTACACGTGAGTGTCACAGACTCCTGAAGCAAAGCGGTTTGAACCAATGATGTCTACATTTTACGTTTAATATAATGAATATGTGCATATTTGCGCTTGCAAAATAGTCAAAACTACACTGTTGCAATGGCCGTTGATGAAAGCACAGGCTGTTTGCACCCAGACTGGATTCTGCACTTGGTTTGAACTAATATGACGTCATCCTTTGAGATTTGAGACAGTGCCTTCTAGTGGAGATTCCCTCTTGTGTGATATTGTCAGCCTGATGTGATTGTAATCAAGCTCTGTGGGAGTTACTAGATCAATGTTTGTGCTGCAATTGCGGTGTAGATGCCAGAGGAGCAGGCGTTCAGCGTGCTGGTCAAGATCATGTTTGAATACGGTCTCAGGGAGCTCTTCAAGCAGAACTTTGAAGACCTTCACTGCAAGTTCTTCCAGCTGGAGAGACTCATGCAGGTTAGTGTTCGAAACTAATATTAGTTCACATATTTGATTACAAATAACGACAGATTATGCAAAAGGACAAAATAAAGGCACATTAAATAAGCAGTTGTTCCATTTAAAGGGATAGTTCGCCAAAAAATGAAATTACCCCATGATTTACTCACCCTAGGTGTGTATGCCTTTCTTATTTCAAATACAATTGGAGTTATATAAAAAAATGTCCTGGCTCTTCCTAGCTTTACTGGGCAGTGAATCGCGATCAAGAATTTGAAGCCCAAAAAAGTGTATTACACTAATGCATCGATTCACCCTTAGAAGGCCTTTTTTATTAACCCCCCAGAGCCATGTGGAGCACTTTCTATGATGGATTGACACACTTTTTTGAGCTTCAAAATCTCAAACCCCATTCACCGCCATTTGTATTTGAGCTTTGTATTTGTCTGAAAGAAAAAATTCATATACACCTAGGATGGCTTGAGAGTGAATAAATCATAAGGTAATTTTCATTTTTGGGTGAACTATCCCTTTAAATAACTAAATAGGCAGTTCTTTCCCTAAATATAATGGAATATAATAAGAGATATATAATAAAAGAATATAATAAGAGAAATAATCTCTGACACATATATTTTGTCATATAAAGTAATATAAATTGCACTGAAGAATACAAATGTGTTATTAATATATCTGGAATGTAAGTGTATTTTATCTTGTGGAAAATCTGCTTGTTTTACATGACAAAATACACATACACTACCATTCAAAAGTCTGGATTCTGTGAGATTTGTTAATGCTTTTGAAGGAAGTCTCTTATGCTCACCAAGGCTGCATTTATTTAACAAAAAATACGGTATAAACAGTAATATTGCGAAATATTACAATTGAACTGTTTTCTATGTGAATAGATTTTAAAATGTAATTTATTCTTGTGATGCCAAGGTACATTTTCAGCATCATTACTCCAGTCTTCAGTGTCACATGATCCTTCAGAAATCACTCTAATATGCTGGATTGCTGCTCAAGAAACATTTTCTATTATCATTTCATATCATCACAACTGTCTTCTGCCTCTGTGTGTTGCAGGAATACATTCCGGACCTGTACGCACACTTCCTGAATCTGGGTCTGGAAGCACACATGTACGCCTCCCAGTGGTTCCTCACGCTCTTCACAGCCAAATTCCCTCTTTACATGGTCTTTCACATCATAGACCTTCTGCTGTGTGAGGTAACATTTCATTCTCACCTGCTTTATTTCAGGTATAGTTTTCTTTGCCTAGTTTACCTGTTAATTCATAGTTTAGGACTGTTACCTTGTGTAATGCATTTTATTTTGATATCTATAAACCATCTTTTGTCATTTTTAAATCATACTAATTTCTCATGGTCCAGTGTAACTGATAGACTTAATTAAAAAATATAAATAAAATCACAAATCAGCACAGAATCAATCAAATCTAATGCAAATGCTCACTGATGATTGTGCTGATGTTTTCCCATCAAATATGTCACTTCCTGCAGAATGATGTCATTAAGGATATGGCGGATGCAACAGGATGTAAATATTGAGGACAAAAGAATAAACCTATAGATGATGGCAGCAGGTTGAACACCTGCGATATTTAACACATTTAATAAATTGCCAGTTTGTCCAAGTAGAAATAAGCAAATACAGCAACATTCAGTCAAACCAAAAATGATTTAAAATTCATTCCGAGTTCAAAATTATGTCTTGGAAAATATTTTATCTAATAAAACATGGGCATGAAAATATGTGATATTGAGATTTGTTTCTTTCTTGCGATCTTGTTTTTTCTCCTTTCAGGGCATCAGTGTCATTTTCAACGTGGCCCTTGCATTATTGAAGGTAAGGAAGTGCTCAGTTGCATCATTTCATCTTTTTCTCAGATGTTTCACCAAGGAAATATAATAAATATGCAAGCCGGTGTTGTTTCCTGAAAATTAACCTGCAAATCACCCATGCCTCATCACCATGGTTACAGCTATTACAAGGATGTTCGGCATAATTGGCGCACCTAATAATCGGCAGCTACACTACAGCATGATCAGATGTTAGCTGGTGAATCTCTGCTGTTCAACCCCCCGTAGGAAGAGAGACTGTGTACCACTATCACACCTCAACAGCTGAAAAGAGCATCATTAACTGAAGATCACAACATGAGGGAGCAGTATTGTCTGCCTCTTGAAAGCTCTCTGTCTATCCACAGACATCTAAAGACGACCTGCTGCAGACGGACTTTGAGGGCGCGCTGAAGTTCTTTCGAGTGCCAGTGCCCAAACGCTATCGCTCGGAGGAGAACGCCAAGAAGCTGATGGAGCTAGCATGCAGCATGAAGGTAACCGCCTGTGTTCAGGCTGTTTACTTAGTTCAAACTGAGATGTCTGTGGAGTATTTCATGTGATGATCAGGAAATTTCATAACGGAGAAAGGAATGGGTCACTCAGAAATGAAAATTTGCTGAACATTTACTCACTCTCAGGCCATCCAGGATGTAGATGAGTTTGTTTCTTCATCAGAACAGATTTGGAGAAATTTACCAATGGATCCTCTGCAGTGAATGGGTGCCGTCAGAATGAGAGTCCAAACAGCTGATAAAAACATCAAAGAATGTCAAGAAACAAATCTGTCATTAAAATAAATTTACTTCAAATCAATGCTTCTGGCTAAAATATGAGTTCTCTATCCATAATATTGTTTTCTCCAGTGAAAATGTCATCTGGTCTGAATCAGGTGAGAAATATGCAAATTTCAAGCACTGTGTAAAAGTGAAAACAATCCAGATATGTTCAAGACATTCATTAATGGACTGGAGTGGTGTGGATTACTTGTGGATTATTGTGATGTTTTTATCAGCTGTTTGCATTTTATCATTCTGACGGCACCCATTCACTGCAGAGGATCCATTGCTGAGCAAGTGATGTAATGCTACATTTCTCCAAATCTGTTCCCATGAAGAAACAAACTCGTCTACATCTTAGATGACCTGAGGTTGAATATTTTCAGCAAGTTTTTGGGTGAACTATTCCTACTGATTTATATTTATTGTATTTTATTTATTGTTTATTATTTGTTTTTGAAGGCCTTAATAGTAAGCCAGTGTATAGTGCAAAAAAGTGAGAAGTGACAACATTTTCATTATCATCAAAAATGACAAATGCAGCGATTACGATAGTATGACAGTTCACAGAAAATGATACAGTGATACAGGAGATGGAGCAGTAGGACCAGGAACTGATGCGAGTTGATCTCTTAAATGCACTTCTTCTGGGCGGCAGAGCGGCTGAGTGGTGTGTTTGTACCATCAGTTATGCTGGTGTGAATGTGATTTTCATTTAGACTCTTTGTGTGAATAGACCATTTATCTGCGACTCGCTATTTTTCACATTTAATGGGACATAAAGAGTGTTGATGTAATTATCTGGATGGGCCAGCAGAGGACACTGCAGGAGTAAGAAAGACCCATGATACTAAAGAGTCCTTGGTTTCTGTTTTGATCATTTACAGCATCTGCCCTCATGTTTTGTTCAGATCTACCGAATGTTATTTACACATCTGCATTTAATTGTTTTTTATTAAATATAGTTTTTTTCCCATAACATTATGAATGAGCATAACAAATCAGTGAAAAGTTGGATTAAAATCATTCAAATTAATAATATTATAGTTTTTGTGAATGTTTTGAATACATTTTTACATTTATATTTTGGTCTTCATTAAAATTGTTGTTATCATGTTGCTTCAAACCCATACGAAATGAATTAATCTTTTAAACACAAATAAAGATAATTTGAATGTTCTTACATCATAATTTATTCAGCTATTGAAAGCCCACATAACCAAAGCTTTCACATATCAAAAAGTATATAAAGACATCATAAAAATCCTTATGAATCAAGCGGTGTAATCCGAGGCTTCTAAGGAGACACAATCACATTATATTATTAACAAATTTAATTTAGTTATTTACTCGCATATAAACATTGATCAACACTCATGCATACAATTGTATCTGTCTGTGCACTTTGTTTGATTGATGTATCAGTTCCTCATCGCCGTCAAAACATGACAGATTGAGTTTCCTGTAGCTCTCACTCGCTTTCCTCCAAATACAAACTACCCTTCATTTCTCTTCTCCTTATTCACAGTACTGAAAGCTCACTTTCACCCCTGAGTCTGGGTGCGTTTGTGTGCTATTTCAATACGAGAGGCCCACCGTCAGAAAATCAGAAGCCCACCACGGCCCTGACACCACACACCAGTCACGATCAAAAGAGCTTTTACACACTACGACACACACATACACACACTTCATTTCACTGCGCCCAGGCCTAATTGTTCCCCCGGGTGTCGCTGAAAACACGCTGACTGATGAACTACTCTTGACATTGAGGGCTTTTATATGGATCTCATTTCATCTGTGGGAGCATTACGGATGAAATATGGAACAGAGCCGGTTCTGTGTCCTAGAGCTAGTCAGATATGGCGCAGCGCTAAAAAGAGCTCATTTACAAACATGCACGTACCTGCGGCTCTCGCACAGTGTTCTGGTGAGAAATGACTGCTGCTGTACACACAAAACACACTCGGTCTCAGAAATTGGGTCATTCGAAGAAAATGGGGTAGTATTGAGCTGCAGGTGGATAAATGTGGCACGGCTTGCGTGTTTGGGTCCAGAGTGCGGGAAGTGCATGAACAGAAATCCTGTTAAATGAATTAGCAGCTAGGCATGTTGCATTTGGAGAGGTGAAATACACAGCAAAGCAAATCTGAAACGCAGCTTTATTGCTGTTGACATCAAGTCAGGTCCTTTCGCAGTTTTGAAGTCATAAAACCTTGAGGAATTCATGCTAGTTGTGAGAGAGCACGATTCTTGAAATAACCAACACCTTCGTGTCAGCCAATAAGATTGGAATTTGCAATTTTGTTAAAGAGAGAGTTTCCCCAAAAAATGAAAATTACCCCATGATTTCCTCACCCTCAAGCCATTTTAGGTGTCTATGGATTTCTTCTTTCAAACGAATACAATCAGAGTTATATTTTAAAACATCCTGGCTCTTCCAAGCTTTATATTGGCTGTAGGTGGGTGTTATTTTTCAATAGCCCAAAAGAAGTCCAATAAAGCGCATCCATCCATAATAAAAAAAGTGCCTCACACGTCTCGGGGAACAGCTTTTTATCGTGAGCACGCATGTGACAGTTAGCGGAAGCTAGATATTACTTTTTATAAAATGTTAAATATGGATATTTTTCTTACGAAAGCGCATCGATTCGCTATCGTAGGCCTTTATTTATCCTCCGGAGGCGTGTGAGGCACTTTTTTATTATGGATGGATGCGCTTTATTGGACTTCTTTTGGGCTATTGAAAAATAACACCCACCTACAGCCAATATAAAGCTTGGAAGAGCCAGGATGTTTTTAAATATAACTCCGATTGTATTCGTCTGAAAGAAGAAAGTCATATACACCTAAGATGGCTTAAGGGTGAGTAAATCATGGGGTCATTTTCATTTTTTGGTGAACTATCCCTTTAAAATCGTGTTAGGGGTGGGTGAGATACCTGATACATCATTATCATAAATCTGACAACCAGTAGAGATTTTGGATTATCATATCTATTGCGGTTGTTTAAATGTAATAAGACGTGAAGGAGAACTCAATTCCATTCTTGCATGCTGTTCTGACTGGAATCTTTTGGAATTTCTGCCTATGTCATTTAAATTAATAAAAAAATAACTTGACTCTGAACTGTTATTTATTTATTTAAAAATAAACTATTTAATTTGTATCTTTGTTTTATAGTACTTATTTGTCCTATTATGTTGTATTAATTTCTTTTTTCTTATATAATTACTGTTAATTGTCTTCAGTAAGTTTGAACATTTTTTGTATTTTTGTATTCATGTCAGTTGGACTAGTATTAGTTTTTGCCTTTGTACCAACATTGGTATTGAGAAATGTGAAATGTCAGTGTCATCCAAAATGTCCATGCATTATAAAAACGTATTTCCATGGAAAATAACTATGTTATGATAAATAACCTTATTGTGAAACACAATTACTTTTGGTTATATTGCCCACCTCTAGTTCTTGACTTTACTGTATTTGACTTTGAAAATGCACCAGATGATCCATGTGTGTACTGTTTGAAGCTTAGGCTAGCTTTAGACAGATAAGCGCTAATATTTTTAGACTTAGCCTTGCTAAACATGGCTATACTCTTGCCAAACACGGGCCTGTGTCCCTGCATACCTGCAAACTCAACAAAATCTGCTGTTACGGTTACATGAATGTGTATCTGAAGGGAACTGGCTGTCTTTAGAAAAGTTTTGATGGCATTTTCTTTTCATTTTACTTCCGTATGATGCCTAGTAGTCATACGTAGTGTTTAAAAGCACTTTGTGTAAAGGGATAGCAGTGGTAACTGCTGTATTAGTCTGCTTTTCAGTGAGCATCACTTACTGTTAGAGTGTGGATTTGCATTTTATACTGTCATTCATCTGTCAACATAGGTCGTTTACGTAAATTATTTACTATTCTGAAAGGAGATTTTCACTTTTTTTCTGAGATGTACTTTGTCCACATCTGTGTCTGTACCTTCTTCTGTATGTTTGTATGTCACAGATCAGTCAGAAGAAGCTGAAGAAGTACGAGAAGGAATACCACACCATTCGAGAGCAGCAGGAACAGCAGGAGGCGCCCATCGAGAGATACGAGGTAGATTTATCCTGTGTGAGAGCGCATGATGCGTCTCTGCTGGGATTTACACATCTGCATTCATGACTGTGCATATGAATATTTACATGATCCATTAGAGCGCGTGTGCGTTTGCCCATATGCGTTTAATCTTGGCTAAGGTTTCGTTCTCCCTCATAATCAGAGCTAGTTTTCTCCTCTGCGCTGAGCTCGAACTCATTTTCCTCCGTGCCTATCCTGTATCTCGTGCTATTAGCATATGTGCTTTGTGCTTATAATGAGCAGTGATGTGAGAAGAGGTCACCGCTGGGCTCAGAGATGATGAAAATCTGGCCAGATGGATTCCTGATAACAGCGGCCTGCCAGTCAACTGTTAGCCTGAGCCCAGCTCACGAGGATTTACCTTGATCATTTAGGAACTGTCAGTCAGGGTTCAACATCTACACACACACACACACACACTTCACACATCTATAGGGTTCTATAGTTCACTTAAGTAAAAATTCAGTTTGAAGTTTCTATAAGAAAACATCGGGTCCTCAGAAGTATTCAAGATCACAATTAGAGTGTCATAAATCAAAGTACATTAAAAATAGTTTGCTAGAGTTGCCCAGATCTTGCTAATATTGTCCACAAACAATTTGCGGCAGGGGATTTTGATGAGAAATGCACTGAAAATAAAATCATTAGACTTATTAGTCCTTCACAATGACACTTTTTTCCCCTTTACTTTTTAAATACCAATTCTCTAAAATATTTGGGCCAAAAGTAATGTATGTAATTATGTAAGTTATGTTTTTGAATTGCATATAAAATTTCCATCGATTTAGATTATAAAGTCTTAACCAACTAACTAATAAACAAACAAAAAAATGTAAAACACATTTGGTTTATTACAGAAATCTATGGAAGCCCGAGTCCACCATGGAATCAATAAAATAAAATAAAAAGTGAATTGTGACTTTTAATCTCACAAGTCATACTTTTGTTGTTGTTGAGAAAATCTGAATTTTTATGTATTAACACTGACCTATGAGATATATACTCTCAATTCTGAGAAGAAAAGTCTGAATTTTGAAATATATAAACTCAAAATTTATATTAAAAGTGGGTAATTCAAATGGACAGAAATGTTATATGCAATTCAAATGCATAAATCTTAAATTTAGAGGGAATGTTTTATATCCCACAGCTTTGGAAAATGGGCTGGTGCTGTTTAGCTCTGTAATCTTAATAACTGTATTATCAACAATATCATTACATTAACTAATTTACATTTGAATTCAGTAAATGGTCTGTAAATGTACATTTGCTTTACTGACATGCAAACTTTATTACACAGTTGTTACATTACCTAAACTCAGTCATTTGTGTCTCTTAAATACAGAAGGCCATAAAAATATATGTGTATGCATGGAATTAACACACACACACACACACACACACACGCACAATACAAACACACACTCTCTCTTTAACAAGCTGAGTGTCTTTTAGTACAATAGCCGGAGGACTGAGAGTCCAGTCAGTGTGTTAATTGCTTTCTGACATATTTCCCTCTAACTGGTAAATTTTTAATCAGGTTTCTTCTCCAAGGTTCCTCATATTCCTAGCACAGTTAACCATTATAGTGACTGTCACGAGACAGTGACGGAGTCACACACTCACACGCTGTGTCTGCTCTGTAGAGAGAAAACCGGCGGCTTCAGGAAGCTAACATGCGTCTGGAGCAAGAAAATGACGATTTGGCTCACGAGCTGGTCAGCAGTAAGATCGCCCTGAGGAAAGACCTGGACAACGTGAGTCTTTCAGGCAGTTTGACGCTATTTTAAACATTTAGCAGTTCCTGACATTCACACATGCCTGTGGCTTCTGGTATGTGTAGTAAAACACAGCGTGTCCTTTTTCCCTTAGGCTGAGGAGAAATCTGACGCACTCAACAAAGAGCTTCTCATCACTAAACAGAAACTGGTGGAATCTGAAGATGAGAAGAGACGACTGGAGGAAGAGTCTGCTCAGGTCAGACACATCCAACACCACCCAAAACTCACTAACGCTCAAAATAGTAAACAGTATTTCAGAAATAAAGCTATGACATAACACACATTGTGTATTGAACTACAAATTGAGACTGTCTTGTATTTTAGCTTCAAGTTGTCACCCTCTGCCTGGTTTCCAGCTCTGCTCTGTTAACCAATTTTCTTGAGTTGCATCCTGGGATGCTCTTTAAACAATATTGAAGGTGTTCAGAAGTCTGTTGAACTATTCTTGGTTTCTTTTACTTCACTGTCCACTTCAATTCACTCATTTAAATATATAAAATAATTATAATAATCAATATAATAAATAATACAAATATAATTTAAAATAAAATACATTTATTTTTTCACATCACCTAAAAGCAAAATATATGTGGACATTTTTTTTGTAAAAAAAAAAAAAAAAAAAAAAGGAGGCTTTTAGAATGTCTGTTGAACTATTCTTGGTTTCTTTTTCTTCTATCCTCTCCCATTTAAATGTAAAATGCATAAAATAATGCATAATATAATTATAATAATCAGAATAAAATAAATAATTCATATTAAATTATAGATAATTATAAAATTATAATTATACTTATAAAAACATTATTAAAAATAAATTATATATTTTTTCAATAATCTGAAAGCAAAATATATTTAAAACATATATATATATATATACAGTGGGTACGGAAAGTATTCAGACCCCCTTAAATTTTTCACTCTTTGTTATATTGCAACCATTTGCTAAAATCATTTAAGTTAATTTTTTTTCCTCATTAATGTACACACAGCACCCCATATTGACAGAAAAACACAGAATTGTTGACATTTTTGCAGATTTATTAAAAAAGAAAAATATATATATATCAAATTAAACTATGCATGTGCATCAGAAGTAGCTACTAAATGCGAATGATTTTAGCTTTTTTTAACAACAACAAAAAGTTTAATTTGAGTGAAGGACTACACTACCCATAATCCTCAAATAAGATCCACCTATTCACATTTAAGATAAGATCCACCAAGTCACATTTACCATGAAAATTGTGGTTTGTGTGGTGCTTTCTGAATTGAAACTACTTTTAAACAAGACTTATATTCAGTTTTATTGGATTTTTTTATGCAGAAGACAAATAGTTAAAAAAAACGTTAGCATGGGAAACAAATTCATTGTTTTATGATTGGAAGTGTATTTCCCAGTATCCCTGTAATGAGTTCAAGTTCATGTGCTGTATTCTGGATGGAGTGGTATCAGGGAATGATCCCTGAGGAGGCAGACCCACGGTACTCTGGATGTGTGTTTGAGTTGATTGCTGTGGTTCCTCTGAGACAGCTCTTACATTACTGCAACAGTACGGCCTGTGGACACAGTTGTCCTCAGACAGACAGGAGATATGTCTCCCGGAGGGGACACTTGGGTTAAATATAGGATCGTTGTGATATGATGGATTTCTTTTTAGGAGAAAAGGTGGCAGAGTTTTTAACTTGGGCTCTGCATTTGTGTTTTCAGCTGAAGGAGATGTGTCGGAGAGAACTGGATAAATCTGAGTCTGAGATCAAGAAAAACGGCTCCATCATTGGAGAATACAAACAGGTGAACACACACACACCCACACACATACACACACACACGTTGACTCACTCGCCTTGAGTCTTCAGTGAAGTATGGTCTGCTGACTCTGCTTGAGATCGTTCTGATTCTAATGGCCTTCAGTCATTATAATGAAGTCCAATATCCATCCATTAGGTCACTATGGCTGCATCAAACCCTAAATCAGTTTAAATGGCCCAGGCTCTGTCATATCTCATCTTAAAACACCCCATTATCCAATTAAATGACCTTCATAAAACTCTTAACTGAGACACTCCATGAATGTGCATCAGTTTTACTGTACAGTTCTCTCCTGCTCTGCCAAATATTTGCTTAATTTACTTTTTACTTTACTTTTATGCATTTGACATTTTTATCAGTTCATGCATTCCCTGGGACTCGAACACCATATAATCCTTTCCATATTTTTTTACTTTATACTCTTTTCTTCACAAGGTTTGTGTTTTTTTTAGACTTTCTTGTGTACGCCAACACATCCTTTTCATCCCTCTACCATTATTTTTGTTCCTCTGTTTTCCTTTTCCTTTTGTTTTGTACAGTGTAACTTTAGTTCATCTTAAAGGAAAGGAGCCCATTAAGCCCGTAAACAGACTCGCTACAATACATCTTTAGTTGTATTGCTGTATGCTAATGCAAACAGCCTTGCATTACCAACATTTTAAAATGGCATGAAATGGAAATTCACCCTATCCATTTTTTTACTGCATCTCAATGATCTTACCGTGAACAATGCATCCATGCATATGTTTGTCATAAGCTGCCTTTTTTTAAACCTTAGGGCTAGTAATCGATAATCAAAATATCATAACTGAGTTTCTGGTTGAAATGACGGGTGACGTATGCCAGATTTCTCTAGTCATGTAGTCCACTTGAACTCCATTTTTCTTGGTTTTGAATGAAAGCTCTCCTTGAGATTCTGCCTCCATCTAATCAACCATCTAATCTAATCAATTGATGGATGAACCAGAAACCATCCTACATTTTTTTCTTTTTCAATAATCTGTTTCACTCAGATGTATTTCACAATATGCTAGAAAATATGTCACTAATCACATTAAATTGTGACTTGTGACAAGTTTTCAATGGATATACAGCTTTTTGTCATTTTGAACCAATTCACTTTCCCAATTTTTTGGATACTCCTCCAACAATGTTTCTTAAATCTTTACCACAACTTGCTCAAGCCAGATTTTTGAAGTCAAACATTGTTTTACATAAAAACCTGAACTAATAAAAACCTTACTCTTAAGTTGCTAGCAAATACAGCAATCAGGAGGCATTATTTCAGCAACTCTGATGCATATTGACATTGTATGTATTATTGTCACATTGACTGAGAATACCATGTAACATTGGTTGCAATGGACCTAATGGACAAAAGTTATGAAGCTGTAAATAATGGTTAAAAAAAATCTATTCATCCTTACAATGTACCATTGTTGTGCTTGGCCTAGCTGTACTTCGATCTTTTTGCCACATTTATTGATAGGTGAGTAGAAAGAGGACAGGAAATGGAGAGAATAGGGCAGAACAGGATCAGGACATTTTGTAAAACCAATTGACCCTTCCCAAAGACTCGACCCTCTTAGTTGCTATTGTTATATCTGACAAGCCATGCCATTTGTTATACGCATTTTAAGAAAGTCAAACAATAAATACCATTTTGTGGCTCTTTAATGTGTCGTGACAGATCGCTGTGGCGCCTCAGTTCAAGCGGCATGTGAAGCAATCATCTCTTCCTCTTTACTACTTATAGCACGTAATAAACATGAATGAACATCAGAAGGTATCTTGTTTCAACTGCGGAAAGATGTCAGATGGCCTGTCAATCAAGCTAACCACCAAGCCATGGCTCGAAACATGTTGTCTGTTTTGTTCTACATAGGATTTTTTTTTCAGAAATAACCCCAAATTAGGGCTGCACGATAAATCAAAATGAAATCGTAATCGCGATTAGGCAAAAGCTACGATTGTCATGCGCATCTTGTCAGTGAAGCATGGTTCTGTGTTTAGTAGTAAATCTCCATCCGAAGGCCAGAGCCACAGCCATATCACCCTGCAGCCCAAGACTGGTTGCCCACTGAAGCTAAGTAGGTTTGAGCCTGGTTAGTACCTGGATGGGAGACCTCCTGGGAAAACTAGGTTGCTGCTGGAAGAGGTGTTGGTGGGGCTCTCTGTGGTCATTAAAAATCCCATAGCACTTCTCGTTAAGAGTGTCCTGGCCAAATCCCCCCCCCCCCCCCCCGGCCTTTGTCAATCATGGCCTCCTAATAATCCCCAACCACTTGATTGGCTTTATGACTCACTCTCCTCTCCACCTGTAGCTGGCGTGTGGTGAGCGCACTGGTGCCGTTGTCCTGTGGCTGCTGCACACTAGTGGTGGTTGAGGAGAGACCCCCCCACATGATTGTTAAGCACTTTGGGTGTACAACAATACAGCACTATATAAATGGATCATTCATTCAGAGGGCTCTCTTGCGCGGAATCTCCAAATACATCCCGCAGAAGAAACCCAGGAAATGCCTATATAGCGCGGTAGCTGGATAAACAGAAGATTTAACTGCTTTCATTGATTCAACGTGACTAATAAACGCACAACTACGACAATATATGGTTTATCTGAGTTTGTCTTATAATTTTCATTATAAATAAAGTATATAATAATGCAATGCTAATCGACATAGCCTGTATCTCTGCTTGGAATACTATGAAATATGTTGTGTGCCTTATTCTGTATAAGAAGCCACATCATCTCTCAGAAGGATTTATTTCAAACACTCGACTGACGTTATGAAGTGAGTTTGAGTTTGCGATTTTTTTTTTTGCGTAGTTTGTCAGTGAACTACGGCCCTATGTAGTAAATGCTGCTCCAACTGAATGCAGGTGATGGAGATTTACTACTAATCACAGAACCAGCTTTTCTGACAAGATGTGCATGACACTCGCATTCGATTAATCGTGCAGCCCTACCCCAAATAACTTTTAATAGAGTACAGTAAGTAGACCAAAAGGCTTAATGTGTTCCTGTAAACATGCATGTCCAGACTGGAGCAGTTTAACATGCTCATGTATAGATAAGGGCTGATCTGAGTGTAGAGGAGAGGCTGGCCTGAAAGTGGCACTTTCAGTGCAGTATGAGAGCTTCTCTGTAAAAATAGTTGAGCTGCTGTCCCTGCAGAGCTCATTTTAATGGGGCTGCTGACAGCATGATTCATGGAGGAGCATGATAATGGTGTCCTCTGAGCTGAACCAGCTCTCTCTCGCACACACTCACGCTCCTATTGCTTGTGTGAGCCAGACGACACACAATGAGCGTCAAAGGCCTGCAGGTATCATGCTGGACGGCTTCCTGGTGTGAAACGAACACACGTTCACTCATTAGAGTGAGGAGGAAAGGTTTAATGCATCTGCCGTCTGAAGACTATGCTGAGAAAACACAAAGCTGGAACGTAAAAAGGGAGAAAAAGCGTATTTCTATAAAATGTTCATTTCAAAAGTCCCTTCAGTCTCTGCCCTGTATTATTATTCACATCTGACATTGCAGTACTGCATAAAATGTCTTTAATTAAAAGTCTATTTGATGAAAATATGTCCCATTCATTCATATTTGTTCACTAAATGAGTAGCTCAGACATTTTCTCAATGTAGATACATTCTTTCTGTTAACGCTTGTCAAACAGCGAGAATAAAATATCTGGCTCATTTGTCTTACAGACATGAATGGCATCTCAAATCATGTCTTCTGAAGGAGACGTACAGTATGCTACTGCTTTTCAAAGCGATCAGACTTATAGTTTTCGTTTGATGGACAATAAAAGGGGTGGAAAATGAAATATGACTACAATAGTGTGTGTGACCATTAGAGGTCATGACACTGCCTCGTAGCTTTATTAAAGGAACACAAATTTTAAATCTGCAAACTTTAAATTGTTTTTAAAAACTGCGCCGCAGGGTGTTACGTAATATTATGGGCCAGATTTACTAAACAGGGCAAGGTGCACATTAAAGAACACAGACACAACCTCTCGTTTCCATAATGACCAGCGCAATCTACCAAGAGCAGTGCATATTACACCTGCTTTATGACATGTTTTTTGGGCGTTAAATAATGGCGCAAATACCAGTAAATTGACCAGCGCAAATCTAGTAAATTGCGTTTGCGTGATTCATTTAAATACTCTCCTCTCATATATTTACGGATTGAAAGGGAAACAAATACAAATTCAATGAGGTAAGTCGCAAAAATAACTGTCCAAGCCTTTTCAGCGCTAATTTCCCACTGCGTGTCTTTAGTAAATCCTGACCATAGTTTTTTTGACGCCAAATAAGGGTTTGCGCAAGCTAATCTGGCCCTGTGATCGTTGCAGTGTCCGTAAAAATTACTTTTAAAATCCTGCAATGTCTTGTGACCATGACTTTAAAATAATATGCATGCTCTTAACACGCACAGGCAGATTTCTCTAAACATACTTAGTTTTTATGTTCCACAAATGCTCTTTAGCAAAAGTTATCCTTGTCCAGTGTCTTTGCTGTTTCTCTTCAAAAGTTATGATGGATAAAAATGTGTTTAACAGGCGTCAATGTTGGTGACTGTTGTTGATTCTGTGTTCAGTAGCTTGTTGTTGTCTCATCTGTTTCTTTTCCGACTCTGAAACAATGGCTTAGGCCATCTTGTGGACAAACTAATTAGTACAAAAATGTCAAAGCATGTACTGATGAAATTTGTGTCACGTACTGTATACATACCCTAGTGCATGCGTAAAAAAACAAAATATTATTTAGGGTTAACTCTACATTGGGCTTAGCGCTTAAAGGAATAGTTCACCCAAAACTGAAAATCATCCCATGATTTACTCGCCCTCAAGCCAAGGTGTATATGACTTTCTTCTTTCATATGAATACAGTCGGAGTTATATAAAAAAATGTCTTGGCTCTTCCAAGCTTTATAATGGCAGTGAATGGAGGTCAAGATTTTGAAGCAAAATAAAGTGCATCCATGCGTCATAAAAAGTGCTCCACACGGCTCCGGGGGTGAATTAAGGCCTTATAAAGTGAATCGATGCATTTGTAAGTAAAATATCCATATTTAAAACTTTATAAACCATAATCTCTAGCTACCGCTAACTGTCGTACACACATTGATGACAGAGTGGCGTTCCAGCAGATGACGTAGGCATAGCTTGAGCTCCGTTGAGAAGTAACGAAGTGCAGAGGAGTGAGCAAAACAAAACACCGGTCACAAATTAGAAGTATAAAACGAGGATTTGTAAAGGAAAATGTCAGAGGATTTTGATATAAGTCAAGAGGAGAAATTTGGTTCTCACGAGATTAGCATTTTCTCACCGGAGCTTACGCTTTGCCGACGTCCTACATCATCTGCTGGAACGCCATGATGAACGCGCATATGACTGTTAGCGGAAGCTAGAGATTATGGTTTATAATGTTTTAAATATGTATATTATTTTTACACAAATGCATTGATTCGCTTCAGAAGGCCTTTCTCAACCCCCCCGGAGCCATGTGGAACACTTTTTATGTTGGATGGATGCACTTTTTTGGGCTTCAAAATCTCTACCCCATTCATTTCCATTATAAAGCTTTCAAGAGCCTGAATTTTTTTTTTATATATATAACTCTGATTATCTCCGTCTGAAAGAAGAACGTCATATACTAATAGAAAGGCTTGAGGGTGTGCAGTTGGGTGAACTGTTCCTTTAATGCTTAGCGTGTGCACATTACCTTTACAGTTGTTTTACAGGCAAAAAAGAACCAAATGAGATGAAACAACAACAAACTACTGGAGCTGCAACAACAATTGACGGCCAAGTATATGACTGTTTGTGTGAGGGGGTTTAGTTTGAATACAAAGACGTTTTTATTGATCATAACTTCTGGAGAAACACTGGAAAAGAGAGAAACTTTCTGTGTCAAGTGCCTAACGCTATGGATTCAGCTGTATGTGTATGTCAAAACTGAATTATACTTTGGGCTTTAACCAGTGAGCCATGGTTTAGAACTGAATATTTCATTAGGAATATTCTGGGGCTGCGTCATTCCTTCTCATTCATTCTTTAGGTCATTTGAGGCTACATCCTCCCTGCTGATCAATGCATGTTTAATGAGGGTGTTTCGCCAAATTAAGATATTCAGGCCACATTGATCTAACATCGACCTCCAAAGGATTGATGTCAGGTTGGGAAAGAACGCATGGACCTCATCGATCAAGGGTGAAAGTCCAGTACTCTGTCAGAAATCTCCTACTGACCTGAGCTCTGCGGTGCTGTTAGTGCACTTATTGTAAGAGGATGCTGGGATTACATAGAGACCGGGGGAATCTGATATCCTGTAACGAGAGAGATTGATTGAAAGATTGTATGTTCTGCTCATGATGGTTGACCTTTTACCGTAAGCCTTGTTCTCCCTCCTCTTCTGGAACAGTATTTTATTGGTGTGAGCCAGAGCACTGTTGACCCTTGACCTCTTTGTGTTTGTGTCTCAGATCTGCTCTCAGCTCAGCGAGCGGCTGGAGAAACAGCAGACGGCCAACAGAGGAGAGCTGGAGAAGATCCAGGTGGGTGATGACTCAAACACACAGCAGATTGTGGCTTGATATAGCAATGTATTCTTTAAAAAATATATATATACAGTATATATGGTAACACTTTAGATTAGGGAACACATATTTACTCAATACTAAGAGTTTTCCCCTCAATAAACTCCTTATTTGCTGCTTAATAAAAACTAGTAAGGTAGTTGTTAAGTTTAGGTATGGGGTGGATTAAAGGATTTAAAATATGGTCATGCTGAAGAAGACATTAATATGTGCTTTATAAGTAATATGCTAATAATATGCATTTAAAAAGTTAATAGTGAGAACTGGTCCTTACAATAAATTGTTACCATATGTATGTATGATAACAATGTGTGTGTTTGTGTTTATATAAAGCATTAACAGACAGATTTAAATCTTGAATTTTATTGAAGTCAGGCGTCAAAACATTATAAAAAATATAAATAAATAAATAAATAAATAAAATTGACATAGCATTTAACCTAACATGACATTTAAGGCAAGACACTACACGCAAAAACAATGCTTTTTTTATGCACTGGTCAATTTTGAGCAATTTGGTTTTTCATAATGTTATAAGACTACTGGAAAAACCCAAGGTACACTTTTAAGTGTTTATTTTATTGAAGTCTCCACCTCAGAAATCTTTACTTCAGTAGCGCTTGCATACACCACACTTTACATTTTTATTCTGTACCTGTCTTCTGAAGGTTTCATCCATTATTCAGATTTATGATCTGGAAATGTATGCAAATTAGTGCATATTTAATTAGATGGATCAACTGGGGACGTATGGTGATGTCTATCAGTTCATTTTTACACTATTAACCTGGATTATCTTGCCTTAAAAATTACAATGTTTCACAACTATAAATGAATTATATAGCTACTATTTTATGTGAGAAAAATCTCAAAGAAACTTGCACAGTTGTTGTAAATCATAATGACAATCACTTATACTGTTTGGTGTCACTATGCAATAATATTTGACCACAGCATGCTGCGATTGACCAGTCCGAATCAACTCATCCAGAGCAATGTCTATCAATGTCTGCTACCAATATACGACAATTAAAACAAGTGTACTATTGTCACATAATGAAATGGGCACTCATATACTGTAACCTGATGTTCAGTTTTCACTCAGTGCTTACAAGATTATTCTGACAATGGGTTGGCTAACAAGGTTTCAAATGGACAGAACCAGCCACATTCAAAATATCCTGTTCAGATCTCACTCGAGATAATTTAATCCACACTCACATTTTGTGCTCATTCAGTCTCGTCATTCTGCACTAAACTGTGTTGCAATTCTTACACAGAAGTTTTAGTTTCATGTCTTTTATTTATTTGGTAGATAGCCTTGTAATAAGCAAGGTAATATACAAAAAGCTGCTCATTATAATTTTATGCTGATTGTCCTGCTCATCCTGCTGGGCTTTATTTAGTGTTAATAAGCAGCTGATATTGAGAGCAGAGTTACACCTGTAATCAGCCAAAGCAACGTGGTGATCTGCAGGCTTGTGGTGAAGGGTTATGAGGTGAACGTGTGCATCTGTACAGATGAAGGTGGAGGGCTGTGAGAAGTGCAGCATTCTCTTCAGTAAGGAGGGCCGTCTGAAGGTGCTCAGCCCTCCTAAGGAGGGCAGTGAGGAGGAGACAGACGAGGAAAAGGAGGCGCTGAAGAACCAGCTGAGAGAGATAGAGCTGGAGCTGGCGCAGACCAAGCTACAGCTGGTGGAGGCCGAGTGCAAGATCCAGGTACCACAACAACTCAACACCTACCTGATCCCAGACATCACCACACATTACATGAAACCGTACACTAGTCAATGTTTGAAGTGGATCAAAACCTTTCATCAAAGTTGTCCTAAAACCAAAATGCGTTCTTGTCTTAGGACAACTTTGATGAACTTTTTTGATCCACTTCAAATGTTGACTGCTGTATTTGGATGTTCCATGTCTTCCATCTTCTCACAGTTCTTTCACAGACACAACAATTTTCAATGTGTTCATTTAGAAATGTGGCTTTATTTAGAAAAGTGGTAAACTTTTACACTGTGCTTTGATTAGACTTTCATCACTGATGGGTGATTGAACCAGTGTATGTCCTTTAAGTGGGCAAAAGGGAGTTCAGAGTCTTCAGTCCAATCAATGTTTTTGATTAAAAGTCAAAATGTTACAAATGTCCAAACCTGTTGAATTAGTTACTTAAATATGAAATGTAATCATTTCATATGAAGTGCCTGTTATAAAATCCAGCTTTGCAGCACAGGGATAAATTACATTTTAAAATATACTCTAATAAAAAAAAGTTATTTTAGAGTGTAACATTTCAGAATATTACTATTTTTACTGTATATTTATCAAATAAAAAGGGTAAATTTTTACACAACTCACAAATCGTGACATGTGACCAAGTATGGTGACCCATACTCGGAATTAGTGCTCTGCATTTAACCCATCCAAAGTGCACACACACAGCAGTGAACACACACACTCCCGGAGCAGTGGGCAGCCATTTATGCTGCGGCGCCCGGGGAGCAGTTGGGGGTTCGGTGCCTTGCTCAAGGGCACCTCAGTCGTGGTATTGAAGGTGAGAGAGAGCGCTGTACATTCACTCCCCCCACCTACAATCCCTGCAGGTACGAGACTCGAACCCACAACCTTTTGGGTTACAAGTCCGACTCTAACCATTAGGCCACGACTTCCCCCTGTGGAGAAATGGAGAACCTTATCCGCTGGGATTTGGCCATTCATTTACACTAGGGGTGTTGTGATATACCAGTACTGGTGATAACCATGATATTTCAAAACGAAAAGTACATAGCGTCAAACACATGTGATTTGTGTTTCATTCATACTCAACACCCAAGTGCGCCCTCACACAAAGTCCACACGCAAGACACGTTAGGAGTAAAAAAATTAATAAAAAATGACTTTACTCCCTTAAATCCCTTAGCTATTGCTGTAACTGAATAAATAGATAGAACTGATGAAACAAAGACAATAAACACACAACTGCAACAATATGTGGTTTTTCTGTGTTCCCTCGAGCCATCTCAGGTGTTTTCATAATTAAGTATGTTTATAATCTATTGCTAATCAACTTTATTACAGTATAGACTATATGTTCTGCCACATTCTGTGATAAGAAGCCTCAGCAGATCACAAAAGGAAGTTATTTCAAACATTTGACAGATGTTATGGAGTAAAAATGTAATTAAATGTTTTTTTTTTTGGATAACAGGTTTAGAATTGCTTTTCATTGCAAGTCATTAGAGATGTTTGCTGTGTGTTACTTTTATTTATTTATTTTTTTAAACGCACGTTATAAGCGGGGAGGCGCTTCCTCATCTCAGCGCATAGACTCGCGGACACACAAACAGAGCCAATTTGGAAAGAAATAAAGCGCACAGAAATGTAAACATTTACATGGTCGTTCACGTCGATTTGGTGGCTTTAAAATGCTAACTTTGGAAAATGTTTCAAAGTGCGAGTTTTTGAAAACTATACTGTTATTGTCTCCGTGTAAACTACAACAATGTGAATTTTGTCATTTTCACAGATCCATGTGAACAGGGATCATTTTGACAATGTTGTCGTCTATACGCGAAACCTAAAATGCAAAGGAAAAACGTTTCCATTTTCAGTACATTGTTGTTGTGTAAACGTACCCTTAGTGAGCACAAGAGACTTGTCACAAAAACAAAATATTACCAAACTTTTTAACAGTATATATACACTCACAACTATAAAAATTGTTAAAGTGTTTGCAAGTAACAAGGTTGAAGATTTAGCCTAAATAAATAAGTACCAATAGTTTTTTGAGGCTTGTTTGAAAGAGAAAGGTTGTAGAGTTTTGAATTTCACCTCAGGTGTGAGCTAGTGGACCAGGAGGCTGTTTCATGAAAGATGCTAAAAAAAGCGGGGATTAAAGTCCAAAATCTGACTTGAAATAACCTAACAAATCAATCTGGGCAAAAACGGTTCCATAAACGACAATTTAAAGTTCAATGAGTCAAGATTATTTGATGTGCACGCTTATACTTAAACAGCCCTTAATGTCAAACGAGTGAACGATAATAATAATAATTTATATCAAATTACAGTATTAATATATTATAATAACTAATAATATATCAATAATTCTGAGTAAAATATACATTTTGCTAAAATATTTGTTGTTGGACATTAAATGTGACGTGTAGAATTTTAAGAGTGAACAATTTAAAGGGGTCTGAATACTTTCCGTACCCACTGTAAGTGTATTTTTTTATGATAGCAGTAACTAAATCAAATGTAAGATAGATAATACAGCCCTAATTACTAGTTCAAATGAGGTAATGTGTATTTCTCTTACTAGTTCAAATGTAGTCTGTTTTCTATCATTTTTTATTTACTTTAGGGACTTTAACTTTTTAATTTAGTGCTTTAAAGAGCAATTTTAGATTGTAATGTTCTACTAGTAACCATAAAAAGTACAGCTGTCATAAAATCAGAGCGAAAGGTTTCATGGCTAGAAACTGCTGATCAACTGAATGCGCAAGTAGCAACCATGTTAAAATGTTTTCATATATCTTTCATATATCAAAATAAGGTCATTAAATTTTGGGCACAATACATTAAATATAGTTGATTGTAGCCTATATATTTTTTGATGTTTGATTAATTTTAAGTTGCATTTTTTTTGTATACTTGTATTTTTCTGGACTAATAATAAAGTCAAATAATTGTATGTTGAGAGAGTCAGTGGTAATATCATTGCGTTCTTATTGGTCAGTGTTAGAGGAACTCCGGACCAGGTTAGTTTCCCAGCATAAGTTGCCACAGTGACTCGGCTTGAGCTATGGTAAAATTTGTTTTATGAAACAGTCCCCACTAAGTAAACATCTTCCTGTCTTTAGGACCTGGAGCATCATCTGGGTCTGGCTCTGAACGAAGTCCAAGCCGCCAAAAAGACGTGGTTCAACAGGACATTAAGCTCCATCAAGACTGTGACAGGAGCTCAAGGCAAAGAGAGCGTCTAACAAGACACACTTCCAGAGACGAAACACTCCAGCCCCATCATCTTCCCCCACCCGGCTCGCCCCCCACAGCTGGAACAGTGCGAACAACTCTCCTTTTGTATAAACAAAAACCTTCCTTCTATGGTACCAGCTACCCCATTTGAAACACAAGACTTTAATGCTAGTCTTTCTACTACTGATGATGTTAAATGACTGGGGCGTGTAGCTGACCAAAAACGCTCTTCTGGGGGATATTAACATTTCTATCTGCTGTCCTACTCAAGACTACTTGCACAAAGTCAACAGATGGTACGAGTGCTGCCGGAAAACTAGCTTACGTTCTAGCGTGACTTTCGTTATTGTAATAAGAGGGCAAATGTGTTGATTGTGTGCATGTGTACGACTGAGGTCTGCTTTTATTGTACAGTGCGTGTGTGAATGTGTTGGCCAATATTGTGGTTCTCAGAGGAAAACTAATACAAGAAGTTGGTAGCACACTGTACATAGACTGTACAGTGAACTTTTAATTAGATTCCTCCTCAAACCACTAGCTGGCGCCCTTCTGATATTAACAAAACAAGTGAATGGTATATGATGGGATACAGGCATTATGTATATGCGAAGCCATACACAACCAGATCTGTGAAGTCTGCTCGTGTATGCGAAAGATTTTACAGTAGCTGTTCATCATGACTAACAGGAAGCACTTACGCGGTGAGCACACACTTTGATCGGCAAGCACATCTGAAGGTAAAGAAACCTGCGGCAGTCACTGTGTAACGGACTCTCTGTGGGGAAGGTGTTTGCACCTTACAGACATATTTATATTAATAGCAGGCTTGCTAGAGTTATTGTCATCGTTAAAGAAGACAAATGAGGCCGTTCTAAAAGGCACTGGGTTGTAAATAGCATTTTTTGGGGGGGGGATTAATTTTATATTTCAACTTTGGTAACTGTACTAATGTTGCCTAATTGTACTGTGCTACAGATTATTACTCATGTTTTGCTTTTGTCTGAATTTCAAACTGCTGTCTGATCATTACATGCCAAATGTACCTTTTACCCAGCATTACATGCGTGTGGACATAGTGTAGGGAGCATTGTGTAAACCTCCATGAATTTCAGTATAAACCTATGAACACGTCTCCTCTGGTCTGGTGTCGGTTCTTTGTTATCATTTTGAAATAAGAGTCATTGAGCATTTACGTTTTGGCATTACTAATTGTTTCCTTTTCTGATATATGATTTCACAACATTGGGCTTGTGGCACGTTTGCAAAACATCAACATTAAAAAGTCAGTTTATGTCAAGACTTCAGTGGCTTTTCACAAAAGATTAAATGATTTTAACATAGTATCTCTGCTGTCATCACATTTAAACGACTGTCATCAAAGATTTACAGTGGTCTGATCACCTTAATTGGAAACTACTGTAACATGCATTAAAGGTGGGGTAAGTGATTTCTGGTAGCCAATGTTGACATTTGAAATCACCAAAACAAACACACCCCTACCCCAAAAGGGTCTTGCCCCTATTTTGATAGCTCCGCCCCACACATACATAACGTTACGCAACCCAGGCAACGATTAGTTCTGTGAAACAAAGCAAAACCAATGTTACACCGGTCACGACAAAATACTATAGAAAACATTGGGCTTGTGGCACGTTTGCAAAACATCAACATTAAAAAGTCAGTTTATGTCAAGACTTCAGTGGCTTTTCACAAAAGATTAAATGATTTTAACATAGTATCTCTGCTGTCATCACATTTAAACGACTGTCATCAAAGATTTACAGTGGTCTGATCACCTTAATTGGAAACTACTGTAACATGCATTAAAGGTGGGGTAAGTGATTTCTGGTAGCCAATGTTGACATTTGAAATCACCAAAACAAACACACCCCTACCCCAAAAGGGTCTTGCCCCTATTTTGATAGCTCCGCCCCACACATACATAACGTTACGCAACCCAGGCAACGATTAGTTCTGTGAAACAAAGCAAAACCAATGTTACACCGGTCACGACAAAATACTATAGAACTCATTATAATCAGTGATGCTGTCTACACCAGATATATATATATACATATCTACATGGTCTACACTGGATACGACACGACAAATCCCCGACAGATAACTGCTGCTGCGTTCTATTCATGACGTATTTAACACAAATTTCAAATGATTTTCAACGGTCGCTTTGTCGCGTCCAGTGTACTAGACAGACTTTAGCTGTTGCGGCGCAGACACGGTGTTACTCAAAAGGGTCTCACCCCTATTTTGATAGCTCCGCCCCACACATACATAACGTTACGCAACCCAGGCAACGATTAGTTCTGTGAAACAAAGCAAAACCAATGTTACACCGGTCACGACAAAATACTATAGAACTCATTATAATCAGTGATGCTGTCTACACCAGATATATATATACATATCTACATGGTCTACACTGGATGCGGCACGACACGACAAATCCCTGACAGATAACTGCTGCTGCGTTCTATTCATGACGTATTTAACACAAATTTCAAATGATTTTCAACGGTCGCTTTGTCGCGTCCAGTGTACTAGACAGACTTTAGCTGTTGCGGCGCAGACACGGTGTTACTCACCTATCGAGAAGAAACAAAGCAACCTCGCGTCCGATCGCAGGCCTCCCGCTCCTTGAGTTCTCTCCAGCGCTGGAAAGCTGATCCGATATTTACACGGGTCCTACTTCTTGCCTTAAGCCTTCTTTTGTGCCGCAGACATTTTCCTCTTGTTTTTTATCCGCCATCTCCATCTTTCTGTCGCTCGGCTCGGCGGCGTCCGATCGCAGGCCTCCCGCTCCTTGAGTTCTCTCCAGCGCTGGAAAGCTGATCCGATATTTACACGGGTCCTACTTCTTGCCTTAAGCCTTCTTTTGTGCCGCAGACATTTTCCTCTTGTTTTTTATCCGCCATCTCCATCTTTCTGTCGCTCGGCTCGGCCTGAACGCGCTCTCCTCCACATCATGAGTAGACACGCCCCTTACTGCCGATAGGCTACAAGTTTTTTTTTTTGCTATTCGGCCCGAATCGGTTTTCTAAAGCGTTTTTGAAAAATCGCTTACCCCACCTTTAATATTTACGTGCAGTGTAATCAGTGGTAACTCAAACATGCTACTTGCTAATTAGAGTGCTTACATTTTTATGACATACTGTTATCAGAGAAGAATTGGTAATTTAGTAAGAATATAGGTTCTTATAAAACCCCCAGAAAAGCACTGCAGACTTTAGGCTATTTTTTAAAGCTTACTGTGTAGTTGTATATGAGTGTAAAGCCAGCAGATATGTGACCGCTCCAACATCATCATCATGACCACCAGACACATTTAAAAATTATTGAAATTACAATTACTTTCATATTAAACATCGCAACGAGTCCAATGACGACAAATTATACAATTTGAATTAAGGTAACACTTTACAGCAATGTTCTATTTATTAGCATTAGTTTAAAATGAACAAAAAATACTTCTAAAGCATTTGATAATCATAATCTGAATATTTACTTACACGATTAGCATCAAAAGTTGTCTGTTAATATTATCTAACAGACTTGAGCTGACATTAACAATGAACAGCTCTATTTTTGTTAAATAACTAAAATGAACATTTTATTAATCAACATTAAAAAAAAGATACATAATGTTTTGATAAATATATAATTTTGTTAATAGCGATGTTAATGTACTCATGAATATGAACTAAAGTCACCCAGTAGGCCAAACATTAAGTTGCTCATTGGATGGCAAATAAAGAAATCCTGCTATTGTGCTGGCACTGGTCTTGAAAGAATATTTATGAATATATTAAAAACACTTATTAAGCTACTTGACTTCCCGCAAAGTTTCCCGTTTTGTATGACTTAAACACTGAAACCAGCGTTATTGGATCAATGATAGAGCGGGCATAACTGAATAAAACAGAACACGTGGCTCACTAAAGCCTGGAATAGTTTATATGAACAAAAAACAAATACAAATCACATTATTCACAGCGTAAGAATAAACAGTAGCATACTCCGCAAAACTAACAAGATGTTCCAGCAGATTAAAGTCAGAGTGACCGTGCGAACGCGTTCCTCTGTGCTCTGTTCACTTGAAAAGCGGTTGATCGCGGTGTGAAATGTTTAGATAATGATTAGATGAATAACGGAGTTTATGTGCGTTACCGTGTACCTTACTTTGAAGCTGAAAGCGATGACAAGGACGATCTCATGCTGTCGTTCATGAAGTGTTGCCAACTAATTTTCAGGGGAAGTTGCTAAAGGAAGGTCGATTTGTTGCTAAATGACGCTGTGATGTCATTGCGCGATGACAGAATCACGGCGCAAAATTGTGTCACTCCATCAAATCTCAGCAAAAATATATTTTATATGTCACTTTAGATTTGTTCGTAAAATAATATAAATGCATAATATAATGTTAAAACATAAACAACTATTTTTATAAACAACATTGAATATTTGAGTTAATTTTTGAACGATTACAAGTTTTTTTATTAGCTAGTAAACTAGTAAAACTACACAATTATAGTTTTAAGCAGTGTATTAGTATATGCTAAACAACATTGAATATTTGAGTTAATTTTTGAACGATTACAAGTTATTTTATTAGCTAGTAAACTAGTAAAACTACACAATTATAGTTTTAAGCAGTGTATTAGTATATGCTACACACTGAGAAAATAAATCACAGGTTTTTACCTGCATTTTAAATTACATTGTATTTTGTGTTTCGGGTTACAACGGATGATGGATAACGGATAATGTCCTGGAAAATTATTAGTACCTTTGCCATTTTTTTTTTGATATTTTTCTTACTGTGTACTAACTGATCAACAATCACATGTGCAAGCTACTAACAAGGTGTATCATAAATGAACAATTATTAAATTATTATTGTTATTATCAAATTGAACAACTGCAAATAGCAATAACTTAATTCATGCGATATATGTACTTCTAGGCATCTTTGGTTTCCTCTTTTTGTGAAATTTAGATGGAAAATGTGTGCCTTTTTATTGTTTGAGTCACTTACCAAAAGTTGCTAAAAGTAGCCAAATAAAATAAATAATAGCTACATTTGTTGCTAGGTGCTTTTGGAAGAAAAAGTTGCTAGGGTAGTCTGAAAAGTTGCTAAATTTAGCAACAAA